AATACACTTTACAAAAGTTTATATTTATGATCTCATATTATAATTAATAACCCCTTATATTAAATCCAATGTAATAATAAAAAAAATAAAAAGTTATAAAAAGTGACAAAGTTCAAAATCAGAATTGAGCCCATTAGGAATTCACGTATTTAATTTATAGATCCATTTCATCTCTGATTTTCTTAATTCTCTAATAAAATCTCCCCCTCTCCAATTTCATTATATTTTTTCTAAACCCATAAATGTTAAGCCTTCAGGGTTTTGGTTATGACATTTTTTGAAATGACTAGAAACACTGTGCTGTTCGAATCCCTTCTGGATTTTATAAATATGTTCTCTAACCCTCACATGTAGGGGTCTCGTTGTACGGCCCACATATTTTAACCCACAAGGACAGGTTAAGAGATAAATTAAATTCTTTGTAAAACATGTCATAAATTGCCTAATAGGTAGTTTTGCCTTTTTCATTTTTAAATATAGTTGAGAGGTCTTTCTTTTCCCTCAAGGAGCTTTGTACCAGGGTATTTTTGAAATTTTTCACACCTCTATAAATAATTCTAGGTTTACCAGGGAGGATGGATTTCAAAACAGGGTCTTGTAATAAAATTGGCCAGTATTTAATAATAATTCTCTTTATTTGTTGATTCTGAGTATTAAAATTACAGATAAAAGGGAGAGCTTATAAATCTGGATCAATTTTTGGTTTATAGACTAACAGATCTTTTCTATCCTTTTGTTCTATTTCTAATCTTGATTCCTCTAATGTTGACGGATCGTATCCTTTCTCCATAAAATCTGTTTTCATTTTTAGTGATTGAGTCTCATAGCTAGTTACGTCACTACAGTTCCGACAGATTCTAAGGAATTGTCCCTTGGGGGCATTTTCCAGCCAGGGGAAATGATGGCAACTTATATTTTCAATAAAACTATTACAATCTACTGATTTAAAATGATTTTTTGTTTTTATCTTTCCCTCTTCAATATAGATATCTAGATAAAAAAAAAAATGACTTCCCTCTTACTCCATGTGCTCGTTAATTTTATGCCCCAAGTATTGTTATTTAGAAATTCTAAAAATTTAACTAATTGATTTTCTTCAGCTTTCCATACAAATAGAATATCGTCTATGTAACGGCCATAGAAAACCAAGCTCTCTCCACAGTCATGACCACCATAAACAAATGATTCCTCCCAGAATGACATGAATAAATTAGCATAACTGGGGGCGAACTTGGCCCCCATGGTCGTCCCATTGTCTTGTAAGAAAAAATTATTATTATACCAAAAGAAATTATTTGTCAATATAAGTTTGATTCCCTCTAAAATATATTCAATTTGTGATGGTAAAAAGTCATTGGATTGAGTTAAAAAATGTTTAATTGCTCTACATCCAAAAGAATGAGTTATACTACTGTAAAGTGCAGATACGTCACAAGTGACTAAAGTGCAATTCGTGTCCCAAACCACATTATCTAAAAGATTTAACACAGTTATTGTGTCTTTAATATGTGATTTCGTTTTAAACACTAGTGGTTGAAGTTGAACGTCTATATACCGTGATAACCTGCTTGATATCGAATCTATACCGGCTATAATTGGTCTGCCTGGGTTTTTTTTTTGTGTCCTTATGTACCTTGGGCAAAAAATAGAATACTGGAATCTTTGGGTACTTAATATTTAAAAATTGAAACTCTTTAGTATTTAGTATATTTAGACCTTTTTCAAAAAATGTTACGAAAATTTTGTTTATTTCTTCACTTGGGTTCTTATTCAATTGTTAGTAGGTTTCTATGTCTCCCAGGATTCTTTCTGCCTCAGAATCATAAAAGGTTCTAGACATTAAAACAATTCCCCCCCCCCCCTTGTCTGCAGGTTTTATAACTAAATCCTGATCCTTCTCTAAATCTCTAAGGGCTTTTTTCTCCATTATGGTTAAATTATTTTTAAATTTATCTTTAGGGGCTATTTTATTGATCTCTGTCATGACTAGTGATGTACCGAACGGTTCGCTGGCGAACGGTTCCTGGCGAACATAGCATGTTCGCGTTCGCCACGGCGGGCGAACATATGCGCGGTTCGACCCGCCCCCTATTCGTCATCATTGAGTAAACTTTGACCCTGTACCTCACAGTCAGCAGACACATTCCAGCCAATTAGCAGCACAGCCTCCCTAGCAGACCCTCCCACCTACTGGACAGCATCCATTTTAGATTCATTCTCAAGCTGCATGCTTAGTAAGAGGAGGGAAAGTGTAGCTGCTGTTCATAAGATAGGGAAAAGCATAGCTAGGTTAGGGATAAGGGTATGCTTTTTTTTATTTATTTTTTCTATGTAATGTAAATGCACTTAGTTGTCTGCCACTGCTGCCAGCTTCTGTGTCAGGCTCACAGTGCCCATTTCCCCAGTCAGTGCCACCAATTACATCTGGTGTCACAATAGCTTGGATTTAAAAACAAAAAACTTTTTTCACTGTTATAGATTGAATAGCAGTCAGTTGTCTGCCACTGCTGCCAGCTTCTGTGTCAGGCTCACAGTGCATACTGTGCCCATTTCCCCAGTCAGTGCCACCACTTACATCTGGTGTCACAATAGCTTGGATTTAAAAACAAAAAACTTTTTTCACTGTTATAGATTGAATAGCAGTCGGTTGTCTGCCACTGCTGCCAGCTTCTGTGTCAGGCTCACAGTGCATACTGTGCCCATTTCCCCAGTCAGTGCCACCAATTACATCTGGTGTCACAATAGCTTGGATTTAAAAACAAAAAACTTTTTTTACTGTTATAGATTGAATAGCAGTCAGTGTCCTTAAAGCGGTGTGTTACGCTAACAGTGGATACGCTGACAAGTGCCACTAATTAGATCCTGTGTCACAATAGCTTGGATTTAAAAACAAAAAACTTTTTTCACTGGTATAGATTGAATAGCAGTCAGTGTCCTTAAAGCGGGTGTGTTACGCTAACAGTGGATACGCTGACAAGTGCCACTAATTAGATCTGGTGTCACAATGGCTTGGATTTAAAAACAAAAAACTTTTTTTACTGGTATAGATTGAATAGCAGTCAGTGTCCTTAAAGCGGGTGTGTTACGCTAACAGTGGATACGCTGACAAGTGCCACTAATTAGATCTGGTGTCACAATAGCTTGGATTTAAAAACAAAAAACTTTTTTTACTGTTATAGATTGAATAGCAGTCGGTGTCCTTAAAGCGGGTGTGTTACGCTAACAGTGGATACGCTGACAAGTGCCACTAATTAGATCTAGTGTCACAATAGTTTGGATTTAAAAACAAAAAACTTTTTTTACTGTTATAGATTGAATAGCAGTCAGTGTCCTTAAAGCGGGTGTGTTACGCTAACGGTGGATACGCTGACAAGTGCCACTAATTAGATCTGGTGTCACAATAGCTTGGATTTAAAAACAAAAAACTTTTTTTACTGTTAGAGATTGAATAGCAGTCAGTGTCCTTAAAGCGGGTGTGTTACGCTAACAGTGGATACGCTGACAAGTGCCACTAATTAGATCCTGTGTCACAATAGCTTGGATTTAAAAACAAAAAACTTTTTTTACTGTTATAGATTGTGAATAGCAGTCAGTGTCCTTAAAGCGGGTGTGTTACGCTAACAGTGGATACGCTGACAAGTGCCACTAATTAGATCTGGTGTCACAATAGTTTGGATTTAAAAAAAAAATAATCTTTTTTTCACTGTTATAGATTGAATAGCAGTCAGTGTCCTTACAGCGGGTGTGTTACGCTAACAGTGGATACGGTGCCCAGTGCCACCACTCACTGGTGTCATAATAGCTTGGATTTAAAAACAAAAAACTCTTTTCACTGTTATAGATTGAATAGCAGTCAGTGTCCTTAAAGCGGGTGTGTTACGCTAACAGTGGATACGCTGACCAGTGCCACCAATTAGATCTGGTGACACAAAGCTTGGTTTAAAAAAAAAATAATCTTTTTTCACTGTTATAGATTGAATAGCAGTCAGTGTCCTTAAAGCGGGTGTGTTGCGCTAACAGTGGATACGGTGCCCAGTGCCACCACTAACTGGTGTCATAATAGCTTGGATTTAAAAACCAAAAACTTTTTTCACTGTTATAGATTGAATAGCAGTCAGTGTCCTTAAAGCGGGTGTGTTACGCTAACAGTGGATACGCTGACCAGTGCCGCTAATTAGATCTGGTGTCACAATAGCTTGGATTTAAAAAAAAAATAATCTTTTTTCACTGTTATAGATTGAATAGCAGTCAGTGTCCTTAAAGCGGGTGTGTTACGCTAACAGTGGATACGGTGACCAGTGCCACTGATGTAGATTAATTTAGAAATAAACAAAAATGTTTAAAAGTCTATCTGTTCCTGTCCAAATCTGAGATGAATAAATTGCGCATACGCAGAAGTAAGTTCACACTGACACATGCAGTTCAGGTTAAAAACACTTCAGGAAATTTATTAGCATCTAGTTAAAAAGTGGGCACGCAGGCCTTTTTATATGCAAAATGACATCATCCTTGAATATCAGATAATA